GCTTAGGCGGGTACGTTGGGAGGGTGCGGGGAGGAGGCCGGGGAGGGGGGCGGCTGTGGTGGCGCACGTGATGGATGCGGTGGTAGAGTTGCTCTTGCGCCGCCACCCCCCAGGCCGACTACCTGGCGCTACGAAGCCCCTCCTACCAGGCTGTCCGCACGCCGCCGTGTGCGCCCGCGCACCCATCCCCCTCCCCCCTGAGACCCCACCTATGCCGTATGATGCGGCCCATAGCCTGGTTGACGGCGCGCGCCGCCTGCTGCACGTACCACTGCTCTCCAGACACGCCCTTGCCGCGCGTCAGCCCTGAGGGGCCGGACCGCAGCTCGTCATCCAGCACCTTGGGGGGTGGGGCGTGGGGGGTTGAGCAAAGGGTGATGGGGGTTGACAGGGCTTGGTGGCTGGGAGGCGGGGTGAACTCGTTGTGCTGTCCCCTAAACGCATGGGGCCACCATTTTGAGGGCAGTGGGTGCCACCGCTGCAGGTGCCCTCGGCGACGCCTCCGTGCCGGCATCCTGCGCTGCCGTCGTCCATGCGCCGCCGCGCCTTGAGGCCCGCGCTTTCGTCGTCGGATGCTACCTCCTCAAGCCCCAGCCCGTCACCTAGCCGGATGATGGGAATTCGACGCAAAGCAGGGAAGGCCCCACTGCTGTTCCCCAGAGCCCCACCCCACCTGGCGTTGCAGCCTGACCGCGGGGTCGTGGGTGGCGCTGAAGGGGATGCCCGTGACCACCACGCCGCGGCCCGCCCTGTCTGAGAAGTCGATGCCCTCAGACACCTTGCCCCTGCAGACCGCAAAGAAGACGGCGCCACCCAGGGCCGGGTCGTCAAGCTTGGCCTTGTAGTCCTGGTGTTGTTGTCGTGGGTTGCGTGTGCGTGTTTGCTTTGTGCGCGTAACGCATGTTTATTGTGTGGAATTTTATGTTGAATCGTGTGTGTGTTGATTGTATGCGTGTGTGTTGTTTGTGCATGTGCTTATGTGTGCGCACGCATGTGAGTGTGATGGGTAATTGTGTGAATGTGATGCGTAATTGTGTGAGCGGGGGTCCAACCGGAAGTGCAGCCTATGCGACAATCAGACGCTGCAGCCCTCCTAGCAGCCGGTTGGCACGCCACTGCTAGCCGCGGCAACCCACCAGGATGGCTGCGGGGAAGCTGGCGGCCTCGCGGGGCTCCACCACGGGGGCCTTGTAGCGGCAGATGCGCTCCCACACGCTGGCACCACCCAGGGCTGGAGGGGATCCGTGGTTGTGGGGATGGTGCATGTGTGTGTGTGTGTGAGTGGGTGTGTGCGTGTGTTTGTGTGAGAGTATACGTGTGCAGGGTGATGATTGCAGCGAGGCCGCAAGAGTGTGGGCGGCAGGCGCGCCGAGGCACAGCTTTGGATCATAAGACTCAGGTTCGCGCAGCGATTTTAGATTTGTTTTGGCAGCAATCTGCAGGCCCGCTACGACCAGGTAGCCCCTCACTCTTCCCCCTCACCCCCTGCCCCAACAAGTCAGGTCGCAACCTCACATGTTTCCCCAATACTCCCCTCATCCCGCAGCCCCAGGCGAGGCCGCCAACCCCCACGCCTGATGACACCTCCGCCCCCACCCTGCCCCCCCCTCCACCTGGCGGGGCCTTCCAGTGCTCCAGGCATGACGTCATCACGCTGTAAGCCGGGAAGAACACCAGCAGGCCGTCGGGCACGGCGCGCGCAAAGTTGACGAGTGCGTTGCCCAGGTCGTCCCGGTATCGCTGGGTGCTGCGGCTGGCGTAGCTGCTGTTGAGGGACGCACCCGTGGGGCCGGACGGCACCACGCCGACCCATACCTGCAGACCCGCGTTGAGACAGAGTTTGAGGTGGCGGGAAATATGTGGAGGATGGCGCAAGGGTGTTGGCTCTGCAGGTGCAGAACGACCTGAAAAGCCGGTCTAGCTGGCTGGCGGGGGGCAGGCCAGCAGCCACGTTCAGTGGGTGTCTCTCGGGCGTCACTCTGCGCTGCTGCCCTGCCCGTGCCCCTAGCCCTGCCCTGGGGCCTGACCTGGTGCTGCTCCACGATGTGTGGGTTCTCCAGGGTGTGCTTGAACCCCAGCTGCAGCTCGGCGGCAAAGCTGTCCAGGGGCGACAGCGTGCCGCTGGTCAGCAGCAGGCTGCGCACGCGGCGCGCCAGCAGGCGGTGCAGCGCCACGCCTGGGTGTGGGTTCGGGGAGGTTAAGGGATGGGTAGGGCAAAGGGTGGGTATGCAGGATCCAGGATGGGCGGCAGCACGAGGGGCGGAGCCGTGCCCTTGGCAACGTGGGCCCTGCGGGTGCAGAATCTCAATCGTGTCTGAATTCAGCTATGCACCACCGCCTCAACGACATGGCGGCCCGGCTCTGGAGGCACCGCCTGGCTGGTGTCGTCCCGCGGCCGCCGCCTCACCCGGCACGAAGCACCAGTAGGACAGCGTGGGGGCCTCAACCAGTCCGTTGTAGGACTGGCAGAGGGACGGGAGGGGGGGAGGGTTAATGAAGGCGCGGTCAAGCGCATCTTCCCGCGCTGGTCAGAGCGGAAGCTATGGCCACCAGCTGCGGGGTGCGCACAGCCGAGGTGCCCTGGCTCTGGCACAAAAGCAGGCCCACGCCACCGGGGCCGGGCAGCACACATGCGCGAGGGGGTTGAGGGCGGGCGGCGCGTGGCAGGGACGCGCTCTCGAGTGAGGGGTGTGTTGCTCTGTTCGCCTGCACACCTGCACGCGCTCCTTGTGAACAAACAGGCGGTACCCCCTGCTGGCAGGGGGCCCGTCACGCCAGAGGGGCTCGCGGCTGGCAAAGGCGGCCGTAAGGGCCTCCAGCAGCGCGTCAAGGCTGGCGGGTGGCAGTCATTTCGCATTTGGGTGGGGGCAGAATGCAGCTGAGCGAGCGTTATTTCAGATGTGATGACGGTGCATATTGTCGTCATTGTATGTGTGCAGATGTCGTCGTGTGTGTGTGTTGCATGAGCTAGGCGGCTGGGAGTGGCAGGGGTTGAGATGATGCCTTTGTGTAGTCTTGGCTGCTGAAGCCGCAGCCTGCCCTGGGCCACGAGCGCAGTGCGACCCCAGGGCACCGCTGCTGCGCCCATCTGTCCTGACCAAGCGCCGACCAGTCCGCGCAGGCGTACGCCCCCGCACCCCCGCGCCCCACCCACCCCGATGACGCCATCTTGGCTCCCCCTGTGCGGCCGTTGGCCAGCTCCTCGTCACACAGCACCTGGGACGCCTGGGGGGGGCAGGGGTTGGGGGGTGGGGCGGTGGTGAGGCGCAGAGGTGAGGGTTTGAGGACGTGGGTGTGAAGGTGGGTAGATGGCAAACTTGTGCGAGGCTGGGAGGTGGGGATCGAGCCTTGCGGCTGGCAGGTCAGGAGCTGAAACGCAACACAGCTTGTCACGCTGGCCGCTAGCGACACACCCCCGCACTCCTTCACGCCCTGCTTGCCCGCCCGTGAGGCTGCGGTGCTGCACCCTGCCGTGACACGCAATGTGCATGCAAGCTAGCAATGACAACGCTCTCAAAACGCTCTCTACCACTCTTGCATTTCACACCTAGCCAATGATACCACCCAAGACCCCCAGCGCCCCGACCCCTCCCATGCCAATCAGGCCCCGTGGGCACCTGCTTGAGCATGTCGCTGAAGAGGGCTATGGTGGCCGGGTTTATGTTGACTGACGCCAGCAGCTGCAGCAGGGCGTCCCCGGGCCGCGCCAGGCCCCCGTCAGGCAGCTGCAGTGCACAGATGGCGCGCTCCAGCTCTGGGGGGTTGGGATGGGTCGGTGGGCGGGATGGCAGTGGGTTGAGGGGTGGGAGGACAAAGGATGCTGCCAGCTGCGGATGCTCCTGCAATGACATCAGTGCGGATGACCCGGCCGCCTCCAGCGCTTGCTACCTCTCCGCTCGCCAGTGCAGCCCCAGCC